CCTGACGGGCGGATTGACTGGGATGCTCCATGCCCCCTCCATTCCCTGCAATGTATGGCCTGGGAGAGCTTTCAAGATGAGCACTTACCCCTCCTGGAGCATGAGTGCGCATACTACGCAAGTTTTGAGCGATGGACTAGCGAAAGTCGCACCAGTTCGCCGGTGAGGCCTACGGAGGAGGTTGTGTTAGGGGAAGAACTGGGTTCTTCCCTACCTCGCCCCGCTTGCCATTCACTTCCCCAGAAGACCCCTAGGCGACCTGAAGTAGCTCGGGCGGCTTCAGGATCTCCATCCTCGCTTAGGTGATGCTGGTTGGGGTTCACAGAGAAGTGAGCCGTCCCCCGTCCTTCCTTGGTAGGAGAAGGGCGGTGGGTTTTTGCCGAGGCTTGGGGCGACCACTCCCGTTCCATGTTGGGGAAGAAAGGTGGTCGTCCTGGACGGCCAGTGATTGGAGTTTTGCCTGTCTATACAGCTGCAGAACTACCCTTCAAACCTGCCTGTCCCCCCTAGACCTTCGCTCGCAAAGTCTTAGATTGTTATTTTTCATTGTAAGAGATGTATGGGAAAGTATCCCTCCTTACGTAGAGATTGTTCTCAACTGTACTGTAGCAGATGCAAGAGATTATCCTTGAAATGTAATGAACATTTTTGTGAATGTATTTTGATGTTACCTGTTTACTTACAAGTTTCACCTTCTTCTCTTTCGCATCCCACTTTAGACGTTCAGGTTTCCTCGGACTTGAATCAGAGAATACCTCGCCTCTTTTGACTTAGCCATTTCCGGGTTACTTTGACCCTTGTGGCATCGCCATACCCCCAAGATCCCCTGGTCGCTCATGCGATCGACAGATCTTGTGTTCCAGACTTAGCCGTTCTCTCAGGCTTTCTTGCCACGGCGTCGTCTTCAACCTTGGTCGCTTGACAGGGTTCGACGCTTCACCCACTACTGGGTATCTTAGCACGAATCACCGTGCAATTTTAGCGATCTCTTGTGGTCGCTCCCCCCCCCCTTTTTCCGAGAATTGGAGACAAGATGTGCCAGAAAGCTGGTTTTATTAAACTTCAAGAAAAAGACATGGCTGGAATACAATCTATTGATAAAATTTAATAAGGTTGGCGGCATTCCATACTCGCAGAACGTCGCCACCGGTTGGAGTCTGCAATCTAAATGTCCCATCAGCCAACACCTCCTTTATGATATATGGCCCCTCGAAGCTTTTAGCAAACTTCCCTCCATCGGCCGGCCGGCTGACCTCCCTCTTCCGAAGGACCCAGTCGCCCACCTTGAACTGCCTTGGTCGCACCCGCTGGTCGTGATATGACTTGACCTGCCGGCGGTAGTTTTCTGCCCGCATATATGCCCTTTCCCTTCGCTCATCAATGAGGTGCAGTTCTGCCCTCAGGTTCTCCTCATTTCCTTGAGCATCAAACGTCTCTACTCTATAACTTAACAACGAGGTCTCCGCTGGAGCCCTTGCTTCAAATCTATAAGTGAGCGAGAAAGGAGTTTCACCTGTGGCCTTCCTTGGGGTAGTTCTGTAGGTCCACAAAATATAGGGCACTCTTCCACCAGGCACTTTTGCATTCCATTATCTTCTTCTTGAGGTCGTCCATGATGGTACGATTAGTGTTCTCAACCTGCCCATTGGTTTGGGGGTACCCGACCGCTGCATAGCTGTGTTTTATGCCCCAGCTCTGTAGAAACTCATTGAACCCTCCGGCCTCGAATTGGGTTCCGTTGTCAGTGATGATCTGCTGGGGCACCCCAAATCGGCACAAGATTTGCTTGGAAACGAACTTCGTCATCTGTTCCGCAGTGATGGTTGGCACGGGGGCGGCCTCGACCCACTTGGTGAAGTAGTCAATCGCGACCACCAGGTATGTGTTGTTCCCTGTCCCCCGAGGCAAAATACCGACCAGATCGATGCCCCACCGGGCAAAAGGAATCGCTGTGCTTATCGGGGTATAATTCGTCGCCGGTCGCCCTGGCATCCTCTGGAATTCCTGGCAAACCTTGCATTTGCGCACGTACTCTGCGCAATCTCTGATAATCGTTGGCCAAAAGTATCCTTGTAGGGTCACCTTCCTGGACATCGTGAAGGCTCCCTGATGTGCTGAACATATTCCCTCATGGATTTCCTCCATTAACTTCT